GTTTAGCCGGGGAGTGGACAGCCCCATAAATCCAAATGGGACTAATGAGGTACAGCAGTCCAGGGACAAGGGCCAGAAGGCAGAAGGGGACAGGAAAGCTGTTGATAGGGAACCCAAGGTTGAGTAAGGATAGTGTTGATGTGTTGTGAGGTTGTTAGCCATTGTCATAGGGCAACATGTGTAGTAACTGTTAAATAAGAAACTATTTTGTTCTGTAAGCCTTCATCTAAAGTGAGAATAGCAGCACAACTGGAAGAGCATAGTCAATGCCACTGAACTGTGCATGTAGAAATTTTTGAAATGGTGTATCTTTGACTATGTATATGTTCGCCAAAAAAATAAAAGGTCGAGAAGGGATAGGGTTGACATGTTGTGGGGTTGTTAACCAATGTCATAAAACAATATGCGTACTACTGTTTCAGGAGAAACTATTTGTTCTGTAAGCCTTCACCTGAAGTACAGTTAAAAAAAAAAAAAGAATGTACACAATGATTTATCTACAAACGTGGATCATAGCATTGTTTACAATAGTAAGAAATTATAAAGGCAACCTCAATTGCCAGTAATAGGACACTGGTCACATAAATGATGAAGTATCCATTCTGTTGAATACAGTGTAGCCACTAGAGTCAGTGTGGTTGTTGGATATTTATTGGCATAAGATGTTAACATTTTATTGACACATGATAAAAGCATGTTAATTGTGTAAATAGTATGGTGCGGTGTTTTGAAGTATTCATGAACACAGCTGCGTATTTGGCTATGTTATACATAGAAAGGGGTCTCGCAGAAACATCAGGGTGTTACCAGTGGCGATTTGTTTTGAGTGGTGGAATTCTTTTCTTCCTTTGACTTAAATTCTACAGTTAAAATACTTAGTTTTTATAATTTTTTAATCTTTGTTAACTTTTTTTTTTAATTACCCTATTGGAAAGGAGATAAAAATCAAAGTTGGTTTGTCATTCCTCTAGACCACTTGAAGGAAAACATGTTTAGAATAGATTCTGAGTTTGGAACCCTACGTGTGACACCGTGTGGCCTTTGGCCTTCCCTAATCTTGGTAGTGACTGTTTCTGAAGGTTGTGCCCATCCTGCCGTGTCTTACTGCTGCCCTCGAAGCTACGCTACTTTCCTGTAGTCTGACAAGTCTAGTCTTGTAAGTTCAGGATCTTATTAGAAGATGTGAAGGGTCCACTTCTTCCTCTTTTCTGTGCCTAAAAATATCTACAGTGGTAGGAAGTTAGAGTTACAGGAACCTATGTATACCTTGCCTGAGTTGTCTCAGAGTTGTAAGGCACTATTTTTCTTTGTTTTTTTGTAGGAGAGAAGAGCAGTGTTTCAGGAATTCTCACATTCCAAAACAGGCGTCCTTCTTTGCACGGTATGTATCATTCTGTACTCTGTTTGAAGGGGAAAAGTCAGTAGTTGTAGTTTTTCATTTCCTGACAGTTGGCCCCGGGGCCAGCCCCACAGGGAGCAGGAATACCAGGCGCCTCTTGGGCCGTTGGTCTCTTTGCTGGTTTGTCACCTGACTGTGCCACAGGTAACCGGCTGCCACTGCGCAGAAGACTTTGCAGTTTGCTCACTAATAGTGGCAGCTGTTGGTCTGAAAACGTGTGAATCCTGGCGATTTCTACCCACCTAAAACTTGTAAATTACAGCTATCGGGAGTAATTAGAGCTGAGAAACTCTTTCCACGACCAAATGACTCTGCTTGCCTCTGCTCACCTTTTCTTAAAGGAAAATAGATGCACTTGGGCAGATTTTATTTGCTGTTGTCTAAAACTGCCATTTGCCCTACATGTTTCAGGGCCAGTTCATTTCGGCCTCAATCTTTGCAATCTTGGCTAGCTGCCTCCTCCAGCACAGCAGCTGACCTTTTTAATGCGTATCTCTTGTGCTCTTTCAAGATTGAAAACTCACACCTTCTACATTCCCCCGTCTCTGGGGATTCACTTTTCCATAGTTGTTGCTCTCTCCCAAGATTCAGATACCTTCTCTGTTTGTGCCATCTTGGAAGATGTCACTTAATCCCCAACCGATTATTCAGGAAGTCCTTGTATATACAGTAATGAAATTGCACTATAAATTTAGTAAATCCAGTGAACAAATGCTGGGTAGAGACATTTAGATATTTGAATACCTGTCTAGGCTACACTTAATGCAACTTTTAAAAGAAATCCTACTCTGTATTCTGTTTTAAAAGGAGTAGAGACTGATTTCTTTCTAAATCATGTTAGAGTCTACGAGTGAGGGCTGCTTTGTTTCTTGTGTGTGCGTATGCATGGCCATACACAGGAAGGCCTGCCGAGTGACCTGCTTATCACAGCAGTGATCGTCATGTGTTTGACAAACAGGCTCTGCTGACTTTGTGAGTAACTACCGTCAGGTCTGAGACCAGTTACTACTGGAGTACTTGCCTCCCAAGATGATTTGTGTCTGACCAAGTACCCCTTCCCTTTATGAAGCCATTCCACAAGTCTGATGCTTGTGTTTTTTCTAAAACTGTGTCTTAAAATGTCTGCTCTAAAGTGAAGATGAGTCTAAATAATCTCCTTGTAAATAAATTTGTCAAAAAGCCTTACAATGTCCAATAATACTTTCAGCACTCTGACCCTTTCATTCTACTTTCCTCCTCGTTCCCCATTCTTTAGCCAAACAGGCTCCTCTTTCAGTTCCTTGAGTGTGTCATTCTTCCTTGTTCTGACTTTGGGGTCTTGGTACATATTGTTCCTTCTGCCTGGAACACCTCGCCCTGACTTTAACCCCTCCTTAGAGCTCAGCTTAAATTTTACTTCTCCAGGAAAGTGGAACCCCTGGAGCCCTAGTCTAGAGGGTTAAGATCTTCCCTGTTAGACACACCCAGTGAACCCTGCATTTCTTCTTTGTAATGCTCATCACACTCAGTCTTCACCAGATCATGAGCTCCATGAGGACGGGGGCTATGTTTTTTTTGTTCATCAGTATCTGGCACAGAGCGAGCAGGCTCATAGTAGGCACTCAGTATTTGTGAGTTGAATGAGTGGAGAGATGGAGCCCAAGAAACTCGGTGTTGAGAACCACCAATGTGTGCCTCTTTGTAAAGCTAGAGGAGGGCTGAGATTCATGTGCTTGCTCATTGGAAATGATTTCACTTTTTCATATACGTGGTGTTGTCTGAAGAGTGAATGTTAGAGATTATCTATATTGAAACAGAAAGTAGCAGGAATCTTTGTTTTGGAGTTAGAGTTAAGAATAGGAACAAACTATTTTATCTTCAACCCTTAAAATGCTGGATTTATCTTTGGGAAATTGTTGAGTCTTCTAGTATGCAAATGCTTTACAGACATGGGAGAGTGTCAGGTTTCAAAGAAAACTCCTCGTATCTGAAGTTCAGTTTTTTGTTTTTTTTTTTCAGTAGCTCTACCTGGAACAAAAGATCATTCTTTTGAAATGTAATTCTCAGTGGGGTCAGAAGCTTATGATTACTTTACTTGTTCTGTCTGGCTAGTTCCTGCATGCAGATGATGTCAGCGAGACAAAGAAGGCCATTGACTTGGCAAAGCACAGCACACACACCCCTCCAGTCATGGGCGCTTCATGTAAAGCAAGCTCTCACCTCCCACAATCTGATTTCTCTAAAACCTCTTGGTCTGTATTCATTGGCTTGTCTAGGTCATTTCCAGCACACTGATCCTCTGCCACACTCTCATCTTTTGTTTACTCTGCGGTGAAGAGTACTGGCGAAGAGCTGATGGGGGCTCACTTCTCTCCTTGACGTGAGCACAAGTCTCCAGTGATGAGAAGTTATTCGTTCACTCTCTCAGTGTTCTGCTACTTCTGCCATATTTGTTTCCTTCAGCCTGATGCTTCTGGCGTCTGAGAGCTGCAGGGCACATCAGACACGCTGTAATAGATCTTGCCTGGGTTAGGGGGAGATATTGTCACTCTGCATCCTTTTAAGCAGCCTGTTGCTTGCCAGGCTATCTGAACGCTCTCCAGGAGCCTCCTTAGCGTTAATGAGGAACGAGGGCCACGTCAGGACAAGGCAGATGGAGAACTGGCTACTTTTGATAAAGAGGGATCATGTTGTGGTTATATGGGGACTTTTCCCCCTTTATACTGTACCTTTTGCCATTTTGATTTATCATCCTAAAGTCCTTTTAACGAGGCCAGAAGACTGAATGTCTGTATTAAAATTTGGTGATCGTGTTGTAATCACACAAAAGCCCGCAATTACCTTGTTTCCTTTTCTGTTAGAAAGCTTCCTCCCCTACCCCATTTTCCTCCCTGCTTTATCTTTTCTATTATTAGTAACAGTTAAGGATGTGTGTGTGTGTTTTTCATCTTACAAACATCTTAAAAGGAAGGACCTTTTTAATTTTATGCAACTCTCTCAAGACCTGATGCATGAATTTGTATACTGTGGGTGTAAGTGTTTGGCCACAGTGAGATGAAGTAGAGGCAGAGGTAAAAGGGTAGCTGGGGCAGGAGATACCAGTTTCTAAAAGATGAGAAGTCTTTACACATCTGAAATATAATTTTGTGTACTCTGGAAAATTAGATCCAGGAAAAAGCCACAGTAAGTAGGGAGTAGGGATAATAGGCAGGAATCATTTGAAAGTTCAAAGCCCACTTTCCCAAATAAAATTAAGAAATCAAAGGAGTAAGATATAACACAATGGATTATCTACAAAGTAATATTTTCTCCTGCTTATAGTGAAGAACTCACCCAAAGTCAAAGGAAGGAAGCATGGTGTATAATATCATTTTCATGTTTATGAACTGAGAAAGAAAAATACCACTGAGTGACTGGAAGATGCGATTTCCACCTCTGGTTTTAAGGCTGACAGAAGGCTCTCCTTTGGTACATGTGACTCTCTCTGGTTGTCCCTGGATAAATGAAATACAGTAAGCTTTACCCCAGAAAGTAGAGATATTTCCGGTTTCATCTAGGTCTTGCCGATTGATTATCTATTGGAACATGCCTTGTTGACTGTCCAGCGCACACTTCTTTTTCAGAAGATACTGGAATCACCTGTGCTGCTTCCCTTCACCTTCGCTTTCTCTCTTTTTCTGCTTGAAGCACACTGTTAGGTCTGTGCAGTTCTTAATTTCCTCTCCTCCTGGGGAATTTCCACCATGCCAGGAGGCTAGGAGACAAAGGAGATGAGGCCGTCAGAGTCAGAAGAATGTCAGTTCACTGCCCCAAATAAATTTAGACTTTCTTGCTTTTCTCTGGGGTATGCTTTTTAGGTAAAGTTTATCTTTTCTGTTTTATTTCATTTGTGTTAATGGGAAGATGGTTTGGAGATTGTTTGCTGTTTACTCAGTTACACTAACTCATGTTGCCAGTTTTTTGGCGGCTCCAGCCAAGATCTCTCGCCTCTGACAGCTTCTGCACTCTCTCCTTCCTTCTCTGATTACGCAGCCCAATCTGTCACCCGGACAACGGGGGCCTGTACCCTGCTGATGGCTTTCCACACACGGCAATAATGACTTTTGGCAGGCCGGGAAGGCGTCAGAGGCGAGTTTGCTGTGTCCCTTGCTCAGAGAGCCGGCAGGCCCCCTCTCCCTGTTAGTAAAAGCACTTTGTGAGGTTCTTGGGTAAATAAATGAGTCATTTTAATCCAACTGACAGGCTGGCACCTGAGCAAGCTGCCTTCCATCTGTACTCCGAGGTCTCATGGAGGCAGCCAATTGTCAAGCCTAAGGCCTTCAAGGCCTCTCCGTTGAGTGCCTTTCAGAACTGACTTTAGTGATTCTTTTGCCCTAATTAGGTTGAAGCAATAAAATTGGGCTGTGTCTAAGTTCTAAGGGTGGGTAGAGAACCAAAGCTTTTGCTGAGTCTTCAGGCAGGTTACAATTTCGCGTTGATCTGGTACAGCTAGTTGACAGCAGTCCAGGAAGACAGAACAGTCTCCTGCTTCTCTGTAGTACTCTGCCCAGGTTCAAGTGAATGGGGTGTGATGCGGGAAGAGATTGAAGAGGTATTTAAATCACGGCCTAATTATTCCTATACCAATTCTTATTTTATCATGAAATGTAGTACAGGTAGTCCCCAACTTATGACATATTCAAGTTATGACGAACTGTACTTACGACCATCTTTTTTTTTTTTTTAACATCTTATCACTAGTAATATGGACTACATGCAGTGTTGCAGCGTGTAATTTGCTGATGTTATCATCCTCAGATGTTCACTCATAGATGTTCAAAGCTGAGATTTATAAAGATCCTGATAATAAAAGACAATAATAATGAAAACTGAAAAAAAAAAAAAAAGAGGTATTCGACTTGTATCAGAACCGACTTACAACACAGTTGTCAGAATAGACCCCCATTGTAAGTCGGGAACTTCCTGTACTTAGATTTGTAACTCTCAAGACCCTTTTCACGTAC